GATGTTGATGATACTTCAAGTTGAAACAGTTTTGTCGATCCTTTCCAGTCAATTCTGTTGTTGAAATTCTTTTCTTCCTGTCAGTAATGACAAATGGTGTTAGAATTATATTTTAGATAAGTGAATTATATGGCAGGAATATCATAATTCATCAAAACAAACGACGAAATCTGAAATGCTCAAAAGAGTGCACTGGGTGTTCACCCATAGAAGTAGCTATAACTAGATGCAGGAGGACACGCTGGACGGCACACTCATGTAAAGCTTTAATAGTGACGCAAGATTGGCATTCAAAGTGTAATTCTACCTTTGTGTAGGAAGATGCGTATTTCAACTCACGGCCAATTATACAACCATCAGACATGTCATCGTTAACCCGGTCTGTTATAACCATCAGACATGTCATCATTAGCCAGGTCTGTCATAACCATCAGACATGTCATCGTTAGCCAGGTCTGTCAAAACCATCAGACATGTCATCGTTAGCCAGGTCTGTCAAAACCATCAGACATATCATCGTTAGCCAGGTCTGTTATAACCATCAGACATGTCATCGTTAGCCAGGTCTGTTATAACCATCAGACATGTCATCGTTAGCCAAGTCTGTTATAACCATCAGACATGTCATCGTTAGCCAGGTCTGTTATAACCATCAGACATGTCATCGTTAGCCAGGTCTGTTATAACCATCAGACATGTCATCGTTAGCCAGGTCTGTTATAACCATCAGACATGTCATCGTTAGCCAGGTCTGTCATAACCATCAGACATGTCATCGTTAGCCAGGTCTGTTATAACCATCAGACATGTCATCGTTAACCAGGTCTGTTATAACCATCAGACATGTCATCTTTAACCAGGTCTGTTATAACCATCAGACATGTCATCATTAGCCAGGTCTGTTATAACCATCAGACATGTCATCGTTAACCAGGTCTGTCATACGTCTGTTCCGGCTACTACGGCATAGTCGAACCATTCGTATTTAACAACCGAATCAGCGTCATGGGTTTCACACATTTACTTTAACTACGATTAGAATAGGTCAAAGGGAATTAGCAACCATAAACGGCAATGGGACATAACTCTGTTTCTAGTTTCAAACGGACATTTCAATAAACGTCTGCCTGTGTGAATGCCATTCAATGCGTACACATTTGTTGGTAATACTATTTAAACGTTATTTTGTTTCTGAGACTAGTAAAATTATCTCGAGCTGGCTGGGCCACCTTGCTAGTCATGTCACTGGGAAACAACAATAACTCACATAGAGAGCCCCTCCCAAGAGAAGTCCAGTCACTGGGAAACAACAATAACTAACATAGAGAGCCCCTCCCAAGAGAAGTCCAGTCACTGGGAAACAACAATAACTAACATAGAGAGCCCCTCCCAAAAGAAGTCCAGGCACTGGGAAACAACAATAACTCACATAGAGAGCCCCTCCCAAGAGAAGTCCAGGCACTGGGAAACAACAATAACTCACATAGAGAGCCCCTCCCAAGAGAAGTCCAGTCACTGGGAAACAACAATAACTAACATAGAGAGCCCCTCCTAAGAGAAGTCCAGTCACTGGGAAACAACAATAACTAACATAGAGAGCCCCTCCCAAGAGAAGTCCAGGCACTGGGAAACAACAATAACTCACATAGAGAGCCCCTCTCAAGAGAAGTCCAGTCACTGGGAAACAACAATAACTAACATAGAGAGCCCCTCCCAAGAGAAGTCCAGTCACTGGGAAACAACAATAACTCACATAGAGAGCCCCTCCCAAGAGAAGTCCAGTCACTGGGAAACAACAAAACTAACATAGAGAGCCCCTCCCAAGAGAAGTCCAGGCACTGGGAAACAACAATAACTCACATAGAGAGCCCCTCCCAAGAGAAGTCCAGTCACTGGGAAACAACAATAACTAACATAGAGAGCCCCTCCAAGAGAATTCCAGCACTGGGAAACAACTATAACTCACATAGAGAGCCCCTCCCAAGAGAAGTCCAGTCACTGGGAAACAACAATAACTCACATAGAGAGCCCCTCCCAAGAGAAGTCCAGTCACTGGGAAACAACAATAACTAACATAGACAGCCCCTCCCAAGAGAAGTCCAGGCACTGGGAAACAACTATAACTCACATAGAGAGCCCCTCCCAAGAGAAGTCCAGTCACTGGGAAACAACAATAACTCACATAGAGAGCCCCTCCCAAGAGAAGTCCAGTCACTGGGAAACAACAATAACTCACATAAAGAGCCCCTCCCAAGAGAAGAGCCAGAGCCCCAAGAAATCTCTAATATAAGTACACAAAAAGGCATTTACTAACCCCCCCCCCCCCCACCCCCCCCTCCCCACCTCCCCACCTCTCGTGAAGAAACCAACAAAGAATCTCTAAACAGGCATTTCAGTGGGAAATACAAGGTTTAAGAGGGCAAGGACGCCCCTACCCACCCGCCCCCCCCCCCAAATATCTAAAACAAACATTGTTAAGAGAAGCCAAAGCTGCTGGGCTGAACTCCATCCATCGTATCCAACTGATTTCACAGGATAGAACGGATTGGAGGAATAGACTGAGAGCCCTATGCGACATACAGTGGCACAGCATGATAGTGAATCAATCAAAATCGAACAGACCAACCATATCTCTTCACTAAATGCTCATTGTATACAGGATACAGAATGACGGTCTCGTGTTTCTGTTATTCGAACATTGACTGGTCCATTTAAACTTCTGTAATCCACGGTTGGATGCTAATTGTTCGAATTCCATGTTTGTTGGTTCATGTGTATGACACACGATGATACCTGTCTAGAGGTGTCTACGTGGCTTTTGGTTCAAATAAATCTGCTTCTGTATTGGTAAGCTTTAGTCGTCTGAAGGTTCGGTTCACAGCATGGCATACATAGCTTAGATGTCAGTTTGTTAGTGTTGTCTAGTGTGTCTATTTGTGGGTGCCAGTCAGTTCTTACTATTTGTTTATGTAACCATTTAAATAGGAGAAACGACGGGTTGCTCGCGAGATTTAATACGTAGAACACGGACACGTCAGCCTAGCGGAACGCCTGGAGTAACTATATTGACATGATAAATACAATCACAAGTGTTCTTTCCTCTACTTCTATGAGTGCACATCAGACATGGTGAGGATATTTCTCTGAGATACTTCAATTTACAAGTAAGTGATTTCCTGTGTTTTTGTTTGCATCGTCGTCTGTATCATATGCCGATAAAGGCTTTCAGACCGCAACTTTCGTTTGGCGTTCCTGATTGCGATAATGTAAAGCAAACTAACTCTACTTCTGGTTTAGACTGATATCTTTTCATGCTATGAATGCTGATCAATAGTGATAGATTTTAGTTATTGTGCTATAGAGTCGGCCTCATTGTTTCCTCAACAGCTGAAGTTGCATGTATCACAAGATCAACGCAACAGAACGATGTGTGCGAAAATATAGGGATAAGCGATCGTGTTCATTTCCTCCACTAAAATTAGATTTCGAATATTGCACACGATCCTATAGCTTTCCATAGCTTTTAGTTTCAAAGTAAACAGGTATCGATATTTTCCACGCAGTGTATTTCAAATTGTCGCTGAAAAAATAATGCTAAAATGGTGCCGGTACCGTGTACCGTTGTTTACCCACCGAATAAACGCCCTGCAGCTATCATACATTCGGTCTCAATGTCGACTACTTGCTGAAAAATTATCGAATTTGTTAAATTAAGTGCGTGTGCGTTGGATGAAATAATGTTTTAGGATAATTGGCAGAACATCGGTTTTTAAACTCTTTTTACGAGTATTGTCTTTCGACGACCACGAATGTTGAGTGCTTTTTTAAACTCTTCTTTTCTTTTGCCTAATTTTTTTAACCTGTCTGTTGCTGATCTTTGGCTAGACTGAGATCTAAATAGGTGAATATCTCCACATCTTGACGTGGAATTTTTTTTTTTTTTAGCGAGTGAGTTATTGTTTGCTTGATTTAATCTCATTACTTTTGTATTTCGTTATCTTTGATTAACCCATTTGTGGTGATCGTCCTTCTGCTTAAATGCTGTTACTGGATTAATTTACACCAATTGCTTTGTAGGCAGGAATCTTTGGGCCTGAGGATATAGGGCCTCGTGGCTTGTATTGTCGTCACGGACTGTGTCGGTAAAAGACCTAGGCCTTACAGAGAATAAGGTCGTCACCCATCATGATTATTTCGTGTTTCTGGCATCTGATTTCATGCATGCTACAGAAGGGTCATGTCGTACGCGATGTCCAGATCTTTTAGCTGCTCTGTTGGAGTCAGTTTAATTCCACTTCTGTGGTAGTTATTACTTTCAAAATCTAGCCATAGCCAGAAAAAGAACAAAGGTAACAACTGTGTTCCTGTCACAGTCCTGTTTTTCTTTCCAATGTGATATTTTCCTTTACGCAGGCCTCCTAATTTCTTCTCTTTACATGTTGGCTCTACCAAAGAGCCAGCCGTGGTAGACTATTGATCAGACGGAATTCAGTATTATCTAATAAAATAAAACTACAATATAATATGCTAATTATTGTTACCATTGCGCAGATGATCTTGAGTATAAATGTGTAGTAGGAACATTTATCAGTAGTAAATTAGTCAGTAAAAATTAAGTCGCCCACTCATGAGATGCAGTTTACTGTTATTTTAAAGCGCCCCTCTTCCCCCCCCCCGGGTCTTTTGTCGGGGTCCTTGAATATAGCCGGGCCATAAATATGGCCTAGCCTTAGATATAGCCTAAAAGAGGTTTCTGGGACCTCTCCACAGGTGATCCTCATCCGCATGGTGGCACTTTGTGTCACCGAGTGTTTATCGCTTGTGTGATGTCCTGGCGGGGTACAACTTACCTACTAGTAGTAATTTTAACAGCCATTTAACTGATTTCCAACAAACTATATTTATAAATCCAACCCAGAAGACATTGAAAAACCTGGCACTAACCTGCCAGCAGACGTCGTCTATGTCACGTGGGTTTCTGGTAGGTTCTGCCTCAACTA